ATTTAATTAATAAAAATTAATTGTACGTGGTATACTATCCCATGTTAGGGTTATATCTAACCTGTATATTGTCTGGAGAATTTATTAAAATAAGGTTGAATGAAGGTATTCAATTTTATCTTAAAGCACATATCAGTGTCTTTGTCTCTGCCAGACATTTAGCGAAGGCGTATTCGATAATGACTTTGTATTATATTTTTGTACCGTAAAACATTTTGGAGTAGAATTTTTATTTATTTACTTAAGAACTAGAAGAAAAACGACCACAACGTATAAAAAAGTATGGGGTGTATTCTATTATAATTTATATATATGTATATATTATATATGTGATTTAGCAGAATATTCGTATAGAATATTATTTAACTACCACATACCATAGAAGAAGTAGAAGAATAATAAGAAGAATTTAGACCGAACTCTTGTTATTGTATTATTTTGTGTACGAAGAAATAAATATTACTCAGGAAAGATATAATTATTACTAAGAAATGATATAGTTATGAGAAGTAAAGTACAGTTTAGTAATATTTCAAAATACTTGTAAGATATTAAATATATATATTATACAACTAACTCTACTCATTTGACTTTTGTGAAGAGTAATATGTTTTTTTTGGAAGGTATGTATCTTGTTGGACCCGCTAGCGTTTCATTGGGAGTGTGAAGTGACTTTGATATTTAGTAAGTAGTGCTGTATACCTATTTGGAGCTATATAGTTTGGTCGCAATTTATGTTGCTTTAGTTTTATATTAGGATGGCTAATCTAGTTTTATGAAGAATTTCAATGTTTTATGTATATTTTGAAAGAGAAATTAATGGGCTTTAAATGCTCCAATATTTTTCATGCTTTTGGTCTTCAACATACTAATATGAGCATAGTATCAGGGATATGAACATTGAGAGTTATAGTAAGTGATTTACCAAAATGCTATAAGCTGAGGCTTATTTGATCTTCAAAAGACTATTTTAGAAGTTCCTTTAATTGAGTTTTTCTTAATAAAAATAATATTAGTAATAATAATATTAATAATCTACTAGTGATCATATAAGCAAGAGATATAATGTAAACATATTTAAGTTTATTTTTGTTTCTTTTAATTAATATTGACTTTTAATAGTTAAAAAAATTTCCAAAATAATCTTATATTTCTTCTTCATAATAAATGAAGATTGAATAATTTCACATGATGGGAAACTAATCAACCTGTTATCTTCCCTTCGTAGGGTTCAATACGTTTTTTAATTCTCATTATTGAATATTAAGGTTTACCTAATCTTGTTATTTTATTTATTTTTAATCAAACTAACTCACGGAAGAAATATTGTTCTGTAGAAAATAAACGTTATTATAACCTTTGTTCAATAGAAAAGAAATAATTTAAGGCATAAGAATATCCTATAATAATATCCTATGCAAACACACAATTTGAATATATGGTATGCTTGCAAGATGAATTGCATCCCTGAAAGGATATTTTTTCAGTTTTTATTTTCTTTTAAAATTCTGTCAAATCACACTAGTGCATTAATAAGAAAAATTATTTCAAAACGGATACGAGCAAAAGGAAGCCGTGTTGGGCGCCTTCGTCCTAGCAGAGGCTGTGATGGCTGCAATATGAATTCTTTTTTATGCCAGTTTTGTGGATGGTCAGGCAAAATCGTAGAGTTGCAACTTAAAATTTGCCTGGTTAGCACATGTGCCTTACACACTATAATCATGGAAGTATGGGTCTAGTCACTGCGGCATGCTTAGTGTTGTTAATTCTGATGAGGCATGAAATGATGTCACCACAAGAGCCTAAACTTATAATTAGAATTTATTTGAAATTTTTGCAAGATATTAAAAGTGTATACATATATAGCAAAGACACCCTGCCTATGTTCAGGAACTGCAGTACTTGGTGTGTGCCTAGCGGCTACATTTAGCCCTCTGTGCGAACATGTGTGAAACATTAATTTGTTTGTATGACATTGTTTTACTTTAATTTTGAATTTTTTTCTTTAATTTTAGTAGTCCGTTACATCCTTCCTCAGCACAATATATTAATGATTATGATGAACAGCAACGTGTTGGTTATTCGCATCAGGAATCTGTAACAGCAATTCTTCCACATGGTCACCATATAACTCCTGTAGCAGCGATGTCGCCTCAGTACTATTCCAACGAATTTACACAAACTGCACATTCACATTCAAATGGTTTGAGCCATCATCCAGCATATGCAACTACAGCACTACATTCGCATCATGCACAGGCACAGGCACAGGCACAGGCGCAGGCACACCATACACAACACTATTATCCGCCATACAATTCATCACATCAGTTTTATGTACCGCCACCACCACCACCTCCGCCACCACTTGTTTCAGACTCAGCTTCTTCTTATCCCGCATCTTTTTGTTCGCAAACTGGCCAGCATTCTTCTGCTTACAATTACAGTTATGGAGTACCTGGTGGCACTCCATATGGCAATTCACAAGCAAGTGCTCATGCATTAATAAAGTCTGAAGCACAATCACCTCAGACTGAATATATATCAACGCCCTTTATAACGCCTTCTCCTACCTTGGACTTAAATAGTTCCGCTGAAGTAGATGTATTGCACGTAGCAGCAGTTCAACAGCCGGCAGCTTCGACAGTCAGTTGTAAAAAACTATCAATGGCAGCACAGTCCGTACAGAACTTACTGGAAACAGCTAATAACTCGGCTTCACTACGCAGCATATCCAGCGGAACTGCTACGGATATAGTGCACAATTTCGACCAATGTACGGATGGTATTATATCAGACGTCCAAAAACGTACCAGTAAGTAGAGAAAGATTAGAACAGTTTTTTATTTGTGGAATTAATTAGAATCAATTAGTTAATATTATTTATTATAATTAATAATATTATAATTAGAATTAATAAATTAATTTCTATTATAAATAGTATAATGTATATATTATATAATAGTATCAATGTATATTTTAGAAGATAACACGCAAGTGACATCATCACGTTCAGAGTTACGTAAAAATGGAAAGCCACGTTCTAAGCGTAAACCTAGAGTTCTCTTCTCTCAAGCACAAGTACTAGAGTTGGAATGTCGGTTTCGTTTGCAAAAATATTTGACAGGTGCTGAGCGGGAAGTCATTGCACACAAATTAAATCTGTCGCCCACCCAAGTAAAAATTTGGTTTCAAAATCGTCGTTATAAGTCGAAGAGAGGTGAAATCGATGGCGACATAGTCATAGCATCCATGAAATACAAACCAGAGCATATGGGATCACATCAAGCTCTTATGTGGAACGAAGTCCATCATCAGTGACAGAAGCGTTGCTTTATATAGTAAGGCCAATAATTATTTTCAAATCAAAAATTGCAAACACAACGAGGTACCTAATATATTGACAATAATTGAATAATTTTATTAAAAGTTTTTATTATATTAATTTAAAAAAAAAATAAGAATCATTATATTGTATATACTCATAGAAACATGTGACAATAACTAGTTAAATAAAAAATAATTGAAACAAATTTTAAGCGCGAAATTATTTTAATAGTTCTGGTTGCGTTCTATAAGACCCGAAATAAAGGTTACTAGACATTAAGAGCGTGTGAAAAAAAGTAGAGTTTGTAGAAAATAGAGTTAGAAAGATTTAGTTTCACTTAAAAAGTCTTTTTTATACAAATAATTTTTAGATTGGTTTCAGATTTCATATATAGTATTGATTAAAGCCTCCAAGACGGGCTTAGAATCTTTTTACGAGAAAACTAAAAAGTAATTTTAAATTTACTTTCAATTCCAAGGAGGATTCATTTCACATCTGAAAATATCTGCACCAGCTTTCTTGTATAGTACATATATGAGTATATAGCAGATATATGCAATATTCGTTTATGTAAAGAAAGATACAATCATAGACTTATTCAATCATATACTTATATTAAAAGGATTAAGGTGTTTATGTTGATTAGTGTAGTGACGGCCAAAATAGTTAAAAAGTTGATTAATCTTTTCGATAACGAGATAAGACGCTTATGGATTTATTTGTTTCCGATAATATTGCATTCGTCTGGAAATAATTGTTCAATCGGAGACAGTTAAAAAGTTTATAGCTTCATAGAAATAAAGTAGAACCATATGTTCCAGATTCTAACAGAATTTCAGAACATAATATTTAAAAATATTATAAAGGATCACATATATTAAATATGTAGAAAAGATTTTTTTAAAACACATCGGCTTTCTGTAGAAATAAGCACTTGGATTATAGCAGTTCTTTTGTGCTGTCCTATGGCCTTCCTTGTCCAAAGGCATCGAGAAACAATAAATTTTTCCAAAAATACTAGAGAGGACCTATGTAGGAAATTTTTATAAGATATTCATAAGATGCATGACTCTCAATGGAACAGAGAAATTTGACTATAGTCAATTGTTTATACTGGTTATATTATTTTTGCCGGTTGCCATATCTTTAAGCGGGAGTCTTTCTTGTTTTAAGGTTTCAATATACTATATATTTAAACACTTTTAGAATGTTTTAGTGATAAACTTAATAAGACTTACTTAATAAGATCACAGAAAATAGTATGGAGTCAAATTTTTAATCTGACTAGATTCAGGTTCAGAGCTATCGCTCGAAAATCTTATTTTGTGACATTGTTTTTTACATGTAACATTTTGACCTAACATATCATGGAGATGAGATGATGGAGATGATTTTGTAAGTTGAAAAATTGAAAGCATAGAATTAGGAACACATATGGTTATGGATGATAATGGCCCTCACATATCTATAAAAAATATAACGGGAAATTTTGCAATAAATAGATACTTCCATCATATGCTTTTGATATAAGGTAGTAAAAAAGGTGTAGTTTTCAGTTTCCAGTATTGAAATACTTGTGGTTTAAAAGGATAATATAATAAATTTTAATATGATTATTATTTTTATAACAACAACACATTCTTAGCTCCGGAATTTAATAAAATTCTGGGAAATTTTTTGGCAAATGATGGTACCTCCGTAGATCATTGTTTTCTTTTAGAAAGTCTGACACTTATCTATTACTAATTGGCAGTAGGTATACTTTAATGGCTTTGATAATCTCATGCCACCTGGGAACTTAAGATCTATTAAGTTTATAACTACTACCAAAACATAACGTTGAAAATATATAAATATGTTCCTTTATTCCTAGACTTTCTATTCTACAATCTACCTAACCACAATTTAGCCTAACTCAGATTCAATTTAGCCCCATTTAGTGAGCAGAATTGAAGTTGAATGAGTGGGCGTGTTAATTTAAAAATGATCAAAATTAGAATTATTTGCCTTCTACCGTTCATCGTGGAGTTCAGGCAAATTAATTATTTGTCTGCCTATCGCTTCCATTAGCCAGCAACAATTACATCTGCGATTTGTTGAGGTTGTCTAAATACACGCATCCGAATTACGTATGTGTGGTTTGCTGTTGTGGTCGCAATATAAATCAATTTTTATCAAAACGATCTGTTTTTACTTTTGAATATTGCCTTGCATTGTAATATTAATTCAAATCTAAAAGAAAAATAAAAATAAAAATAAAAATAAAAAATATTGAAAATATGTGAAACCAAGAAGAAATATTGTACATATTTCCTCTTTGAAATGCTCTTGCCTAAAGATGGAAACAACAAAGGTTGCTTTCATTTAGAATGGCATTACGAGTTCCGATATGAGTAGATAAAGTGCTCCAAATGCAACTGTAAATTTAAACATAAATAAATGAAAATATACTTTATCAGACATTTATGACAGCGAATGAGTTGAGTGGAAGGGGACTGGTAGTGGGAATGGGAAAGGGAAGGGAAAGGCCAAAAGCGGGAATTGAACTCAGTGAGGAAACGTGTATATGTATAATGGAGTGCTCACGCGCTAGTGGCATATCAATTACTAAATAAACATGACCGTTCGTCTTCCTTAAATCGTGGATGCCCCGCAAGGGCTTTGTTGCACTTGTTCTTGCAACACAACATGCAGCTGATCACACTTAATTTTTTTTTTGCGTTGATGTATAAAGTTTCATTATTGAGTTTTCTATTTGTTTGGAGTTTTTATAAGGCATTAAATTAGCGAGGGTAAATGTCAATCAAAGCCATTCAAAAATCTGGGGGCAAATCTTTTGACAGGCTCGGGTCACAATTGCGTTAAGTTCAACCTTAAAAAACTAATCCAGTAAGTAGGTAAGTGAGAGGGAAAGATTTCGTATAACAAAACGCCTTGGCACAAATTGTAGGCAGATCAATGACTACAGAACTAAATTTATGTAAAATTACATAAAAACCGGCTCGAGGCGTCATTAATTATGCATTAATTTAGTGCGCATCTAAAACTATTTTTTAGTTGTACTCACATATGTTTGCGCACGCCTGCCTAATATCTATTAGCAGAGAACCGGGAATGTATACATGGGCTGGCAATTGTTGACCGCAGTGGTCGAAAAACGGATTCATATTACATGTCTCGTCAATGACTTTGAATTATTTACTACCTACACCAACTAATCCCAATTACACACATGAGGCATGCAGCATGCGACATTCCGCACATGTACAGTGAAAACCTTCTTTAAGGATGTGCATTCGATTCCGGAATATTTTTCATAATTTTGTCTAGACTTAAGGCTCTTATCGTCAACAGTAAAGTAAAGTAAAGTAAAGTATTTAAAAAAAAGATTTTTCTTTGATTTGATTTGTTTTTAAATTAACAGTATTTTTATATTTTTATATTTTCATACATATATTTAGTTTTCCGTTTACTTACTCTTATTATAATATTACGAATGTTATATCGAAAATATGAAAAAAATAATTATGTAAAAATATAGCACTGCTCTATGCACTTTTCCAAATCTGTAACAGATAATTTTGTCAAATTTTTTTTGGATTTTAGTCTTCCAAAACCTTAACATTCAGGACCAAGTGCAATCCTACAATCTAAGGTATCTATCAATGTCTAAACATAACGCTGTCTGAAATTAGTTCAAATGTATCTAATTTTTTAATGCATATTTAATGGATTTACAACTAAACATTGCATTATCATTTAAATTTGTTCTCTCCATTATAACAGAATTCGCTGCTCCAACACAGTAGTCATTGTAGATTGTAGATATCAAGGCTCATCAAGGTTTTCTTCCCATGGAAAAAAGGAAAATGTTTAATCGTTGTAAGAAAATCGCAATACGGGCAATGACTTATAGTATCAGTTAAAACCTCGAATGGTAATGAATTGTGAGTTGAAATTTCTTACCCACCTATTTAGGTGATCCGTGCCTTTATTCCATGCTGAGGGTCTCTAGTCTTGTAGTCAAATGCAAACGAATTTGAGTTGGTCCCTCAACTTAAACAATTTACGGTTGAGTTTTTATTTTCACAGTAGTCTTCTTCTTATGACTGCTGTTTCAAGTAACTTTTTAGTGCAGCATCGCTCCATATTCAAGATATGATATATCTTATAATCAAATAAGCGATACCATTTGATGGTAATTCGAAGAACAATGTCAACGTTGTAATTATGTTTGTGAAGAAATTTTTACATATAAAATCATAAAGAAGACATAATTTCGATTTGTCGGGCAAGTTTACTTCACAAAGCAGGCCCTTTAAGACATGAGGCCGTCGGCAGTAAGATATTATTAAAAGTTGATTTATTTGTTTATATTTTATTTCACTTCATTATATGTGATTATATCTGAAATTAAATATAATCTGATCTGATCATATACTCGTATTATTGATATTACCTAATTGTACGGAAAAAAATATACCAAAAAGCATTATATAAGAAAGATGTTATCTGATCTGATCATATATTATTGATATTACCTAATTGTATGGAAAAAATCAACATAATATAATAAAATATATAAGTAGTAAAACCTTGTCCAATCTTCAGTATTTTAAAATATTTATTTGTTAGTATGATACTAGTTTTTATAGACTGTTAATAAATAGTTTTTAGTTAAACTAAAAATTGATAGTTAAAATTTTCCGACCCATCTGACTCTAATAATGGAAGTTTTTATTAGTTTAGCAAAAATATGTGCATATTCATTAATATCTTACACACAAAAGCCAACTTGAGCTCAAATAATGGCCCGTTGTTATACCCCGGATTGGCGTTGCTAATATACAGACCAGAAGAATTCTCAAGCGAACCGCAGAGGTAAGAGTACTAACAATGCTAAAATGCGCGACTCCCCCATTCAAGTGAATCAACTTAATAACTCTATAAACTCAGCTAAGTCCTTAATTTAAAAGAATGACAGCTCTGTCTAGTCGATAGGAAAAGAGGCCCAAAGTTTTTTAA